GCACATTTTCAGCCACTCAGTTGCTGCTGCAACATTCTCTGTGTTGGTGACATCCAGCAGAGTGGTCTTTAACCGGTCCGATGTGACCTTTTCCAGCTGTTCTGCCCCTTCTGGAGTGAGACTAGAGGCCAACACCCGCAGACTCTGAGCATCCAACTGCCTGGCCAGCTGGTTCCCAAAGCCAGAATCACAGCCCATGATACAGATCAAATATAATATCCAGTTCCAGAGTATCATAGAAGATGATAAGATCAGAACATCTGTATGTGGCAAGGCATCATAAAGTACAGAGTAGATAAACCCAATGCTACACTTTTGAGTTACCATTGTAAAGAGGCAGGACTTGGTTTACAATGTGAGTAGATTGAGAGGATACATGACTTCCTTCCCCTTTGAGAAAGAAATCATACAGCATATTTCCTGAGATAGGTAATTCTGCTCTCCTTGGAAAGCATTATGGTGTGTTGCTGTGCAATAATCCATTTTAGTATAATCTACTCTATATACAGGAATAGTCAGCAAGGGATGTTGATATTGCACTTGCTTGCTTGCATAATCATAATATTTGCACATCTCAAAGTGACCTGGTCACTACATAAACTAAAATGCAAGTAAACATTATACATATATGCTATTTCAAACAACCAGTAGAGTTCTATTGAATAAAAAGACAATCATCAGCCACAAATAGGGAATTCTTTCTCCACCAATGCATATGAAGTGGGGTGGCTATCACCTTTTATAAATGAATAGAGTTTTCTGCTTCAATAGGAAGTTGGACTAGAGGACCTCTGAGGTCTCATCCAACTCTGATAGTCTGTGTGTGTGTCATCGGTGATTTTTCTTTGTATTTTAGTCTGGGTTTATCCTTAATAATTCATCTGAGGGCATTCTGTTTGAAGGAACAATCCCATGAAGTTTTATTTAATGTCTGATTAATGAGCTACCTACTCATCTTCCATATCCAGTTCTCACTGCCCTTACACCAAGTGAAGTTGGGAGAGAGAAGGCCATGCAAATTGGTGCAGCCGGACAATGCCCATCCACAGAAGAACAGCAGAGGCATAGAGACTGAGAAGTCTGTTTCTACTATGGAGACTCTGGGTACATGACCAAGGACTGTCCCAAAGGTGCTTTTTCAAGAGGCAACAGGACTTTCTGGTTTTTCTTTGAAAACGTTTGGCTTCTCATCCAAGAAGCTTTTTCACCTTTGACTGGATGGTGGGGAATGGAAGTGAAATGTTTTGGGTGAGAGGCTGCGGAAGCTTCTTGGATGAGAATATCATCCTTGCTGCCTTTCCTGCACACTTTCCATCTTTTTCTTATTATGGTGACCAGAACTGGATGTAGCATTCCAAGTGTGATCTCACCAGCATGCTGTAAAGCCAAATATCATTTCTCATTGTCTTGATACTGTCCCTTGTTGATGCAGCTTAGGACAGCATTTTTTGATAGCTTTAACTTCTTTCTAGTCCCAGCATTTTTTTCTTGGAGAATTTAGATGAAGTTCAACAACTACTTATAATCCAACTGACCAAAAGAAATCCCAAAGGTGCTTTTTCAAGAGTCAACTGGACTTTCTGGTTTTTCTTTGAAGATGTTTTGCTTCTCATCCAAGAAGCTTCTTCAGCTCTGGATGAGAAGCAAAATGTCTTCAAAGGAAAACCAGAAAGTCCGGTTACCTCTTGAAAAAAGCACCTTTGAGACAACTGTGACCTGGATGGTTGAGAATCTCCATTGACCAAAATAAAAAAGGAAAGAAAGGGTTGCATTAGGTCTTTACCGCAGTTTGATCATATACATTTGCAAATGAAGCATTTCATGGTATTTAAAGTGGGCGTAATCTAACAGCTGTATTAAAAACACAGCTATGAGGTGATTATTGTGCCCACTTTAGGAGAAATCAGATTTTTACTTAGTGAACAGATTGCTGGCAAATGTTCAGCATTGAACTTATTAAATAGGATCTGTTGGATTCTCTTACACCTTTTCATTCATTATTCAGGAATAGGGAAGAGAAAAGCAGAGTCAATTAGTATCATCTGTAAATCAGTTATCTGAAATGAGTAATCATTAGAGAAATGACATGGAAAGGGCCTATTTTATGCAGATTTCACTTTTTCTTCTTGAAGAGTCTACATATAAGATATGTGCTGCCTAAAAAAATCCAGAACTTTTGGAAAAATGGGTATGTAATTTAAAAAAATCCATAGCTGATGTTGGGAGGAGAGGAATATAACATTAATTTCACTAAATATCAATGGATTGAATTCCCCGACCAAGCGAAGGCAAATGTTAACAAAATTAATAAAACAGAATGTTGATACTATATGCCTTCAAGAAGTACATATCCAAAAAAAATCAGAGTAAATATTTGGAATTCCCCAAATTAGGAGAATTGTATGTAGCATTGGCAAACCAAAAGAAATGAGGGGTGGCCATGTATATATAAAAAGGGAGGAATGCAAAACAAATTTACATGGAAGAACAGGGCTGAATCTTAATGGTACAATTGGAGATATCGCAAAAACAAGTATTGTTAGTGGGAATATATGCACCGAATGTGAATTAAAAAACATTCTACCAAAAATTATATGAAAAAATAGTGGAGACAAGACAGGCTAATATATGCTTGGTCGGGGACTTTAATGCCATAGTTGATAGTGAAAAAGATTATATTGGCAAAGAACAAAAAAATAAATAAAAAAGAACTTTCTACCAAAACCATTCTTTGACTTAGTACAAGAAACTAACCTAGAAGACATATGGCAGAAAAGACACCCAAATGAAAAAGAGTATACATTCTATTCAAACCCCCACCATTCGTGGTCCAGAATTGATATGGCATGGACAAATAAGACAACTGGAAATGAAATATCCAAAGTAGAAATAATGCCCAATATATGGGCAGACCACAACCCATCAAAAATTACCTGGAAAGGACACATCAAATTAAAATTGATGCAAGACAGTAAACGCAGAAGTGGTTTTAGGCTACAAGACTGGGAACTTTACTATCAAGCAGCGATATTGAATTGGATTAAGGATTGGGCTAAACTAAGTGATAAATGAATATTAATGATAGAAGGTCATGACCTCCATGAAGGTTGGCATGCGTATTTATGGGAGAAAAAGGGTAAAACATAAGGTTATTTTAATAAACATCAAATAAGAGATTCATTACTACAAACATGGAGAGAGAAAAAAAGAAACACTACACAAGAATGGTTGTCAATCATGGAGGCCATGATACATCCCAACAGATTAAATTTAGGTAAAATGATAAAATAAATGATAAAATACAAGGATCTATTAAATGCCCAAGGGGGATTAAAATCAAATCAAGAATTAAAAGAACAAGGAATTACAACTAATTGGTGGCCATATCTCCAAGTTCAAAATAGATACAAAACAGACTCAGAAGAATTTGAGTTTGATAAATGCTTGCTAGATTTTAGAATGGAAGAAGAAAGAGTAAAAGATATGATTATAGCATGGGCACGGAATTTCGGTTATAATATAAATTTAGACGAGTGGGAAAAATTATGGAGTATAAATTATAAATTAACAATGTCCGCAACATACAAGGAAAATTTATATAAAATGTTCTATCGGTGGCACTTAGCCTGACAAGATTAGCCAAGATATATCCGAATGCCAATCCAAAATGTTGGAAATGCCAACGAGTTGATGGTACCAACTATCACATGTGGTGGCTATGCCCTCAGGCCAGGACCTATTGGAATAAAATTAGGAAGTGGACACAAGAAATTATTGGAAGCCAAATTGAATTCAAACTGGAAATCTATTTACTTGGGATTATTCAAAAACAATATCCAAAAAAGATTAAATATCTAATTTTACACATATTGACAGCAACCAGAATAGTTTATGCACAAATGTGGAAAGAGCAGAGGATTCCAACTGAAGAGTTAATCATACAAAAAAACAGCAGACTGTGCTGAGGTGGACATGCTCACACTTAAAATGAGAGGGAAAGAAGAATCAGAATACTACTCAATTTGGCATGGATAGTACATGTGGCTAGAAAAAGATAAGAATTAGAAAAGATGATTAAATAAGAATTCTCAAGAAAGTGATACACAAGATATGATAGGATAGACAGAAGGATCAAAGATGTATAATAATAAGTGTAATATATGTATTAAGGATAGGTATGAATAGATGTTAAAAGAATAAAACAATATTAAAGATGTATAATAATAACTATAATATAAAGGCAATATGTACTGATTAATGATAAACAGATAATATAGACTAAAATAGATACGAATAGATGTTAAAATATAAGACAATATTATATGTGGATGTCAATGTTGTTGAAAAAGTAATTAAGATTTGTACTGGTGGAAAATAATAAAAATTTATTCGAAAAAAAAACCAGCATGGCATGGGTCCGGTTTACTTGAGGAATTGTCTCATCTCAATGGGACTTGCCCACCCCACCCATTCTGTTACAGGAGGTCAAGAAATTCTGGTTGGTGAGGCCCAGGAGAAAAGCCTTCACTATGCTTCTGATGTTTGGAACATCTTGTCACCTGGAGTGAGAGGTGATCTTTCATAAAGACCTGAAGACCTGGCCCTGCCAGTTGGCTGGGGTCCTAATAGTGGAGTATCATGTTGGAGATAGCAATAACAATAGCACTTAGACTTATATACCGCTTCACAGTGCTTTACAGCCCTCTCTAAGCAGTTTACAGAGTCAGCATATTGCCTTCAACAATTTGAGTCAACAATTTGAGATGGTTGATGGACCAATAATAGATCGAACCTCCCCATATACACCTCCTGCCTTCCCTCCTCATCTTTTAAATATAATTTGTAGTTATTAGAAATATTTATTTCTATGGTTTTACTGCTTTTAACATTGTAAGCAAACCAAAGTCCACCTTGTGGCAAGATGGGTGGCAAATAAATTTAATAAATAAATAGTGGTGAAATTGTTTCCTCCATAATCCCACTTTTATTTCTCCTCACAGGGCTTTGGGGGTTAGTAAACAATGCAGGCATTAATTGTCTCGTTGCTCCCAATGAGTGGCTGAGGAAAGAGGACTTTGCCAAGGTGCTGGACATCAACTTGCTTGGGCTGATTGACGTGACGCTCCAGATGCTGCCCCTGGTGAGGAAAGCCAGAGGGAGAGTGGTCAACATGTCCAGTTCGGCAGGAAGACTGGCAGCCTATGGAGGTGGATATGTCCCCTCCAAGTTTGCTGTGGAAGGCTTTTCAGACACTCTGAGGTAAAATATAAACTCGGTAGCTATTTTTCTTGTTTAGCAGAAAATGTTGTTTAGTATTACATTTGAAACAGCAAAGCACTTAGTCCTAGATTTAATGGGACCTAGACCTAGATTTAATGGGACCAAGTTTGAGATAGTCCTTTGGCCTGTCTGGTGCAGTCCTGCATTACACTCTGATACCAGAAGCTCTCAAAATGTTCAAGCAGTTGTATATGCACAGATAAAAGTAAGGTTTTTGGTAAATAACAGCACCTTCCAAATTGAGCACACAACAACAACCCTGTGAGTCAAGTTGGGCTGAGAGAGAGAGAGAGACTCGCTCAAGGTTACTTAACTGTCTTTGATGTTTAAGAGAAGACTATAACTCAGAACCTCTCCATTTTTTAGCTTGTTACCTTAACCACTATGCCAAATGGACATGTAATGGCTAAAATATATACACTTTTCATGAAGTTTGAAATTGAAGAAGAACAAGTGAAAACATACTTGATAACATGGGCTAGGATCTTTGGACATAATTGATGCAACAGTGGGAAAATATGTGGTTGAAAATGACTGAAATTCCCATTAGGTTATATCGTAAAAGAAAATTTTATAAAATGATGTAATGTTGGCATATGAGTCGAGAATAATTGTCTAACAATGTCTAAAGTACTTCAAATCTATGTTGGAAATGTTGGCAACATGAAGGGTCATTTTATCATGTTTGGTTATCTTGCAGAAAATCCAGAAAATTTTGGGTTCAAATACACATAAAGATATAAAGAATTTTAAAGATGAATATTCAATTGAAACTAGAACTGGATAGACAATTAGAAAAGAGATGTGGAAGATTGTTTTTATATATGATATGTTGGAAGAAATATCTTTCTGGGTTCAGTTCCAAGTGCAGAAAAAGACACTGGAAACATGGAGGCTGTTCGGAAGGTTTAATGGTAGACAGGAGGACCACATGGCCTGGAGCTCCAGAATGAAAAGGAAGGATGATCACATGCTTCGAGGTGAAGGAAGAGATCAAGGAAAAAAGGCTGAGGTGCTGAGAGTGTCTAGGTTTTATAATCTTTGTTGGGATTTGAATTGGATTCTGAATGGTTGTCAGACTCCCATGAGGCCATGCAGGGGCAACTCTGTAAGCTGTCCTGAGTTCCAGGCTTGGTTGAGCCTTGCTGGATGATGATGCACTGAAAGGGCTTTTGAGCAATTGCTATAGCTTTACCTGGAGATCTTTGTTATGTAAAGTATTCTGGCCCAGGCCTTAATGGCCTACCCATTAACAAAGCTGGGGTTAGCTTCTGCTTCTGAGTTTCTATTCCCTTTAGGGGAAATATTCTGCCTTTTTAATATTTCCTAGGATATTTCAATTTTCTAGGAGAGGGGTGGGTGCCAACTTCCTACAGATAACTGCTACGAATTTTTACGTGCACAAAAATGTAAGGACTCTGAAATACCCACAATGGAACTCAAGGCAAAGTACACATTGTTTCAACCACCTATTTCTCCCACAAAAATAACCTTGTGAGTTAGATTGACCGAGAGGCAGTAAGCAACCCAAGTCACTTACAAGGGAGTGTTTGTGACTGGAGTAGAGTATGAGCTCAGTCTCCCTGGTCCTAAGCCAAGACCTTAATCCTTCCACCTCAGAGACTCTCCTTATGCAAAGATAATCCTTTTGTTCCAATACAGGCGAGAGCTTTCTCCTTTCGGAGTCAGAACCAGTATCATTGAGCCTGGAGGCTTTGCCACAAATGTGTTCAATAACGTAGGAAATAACATAAAGGATGTGTTCAACCACATGCCTCCACACATCAAAGAATGCTATGGACAAACATACCTGGATGCATGTGAGTAAAAGAAGAACCCTAGAAGGGTTTTTGTCTGTGTATGTGTTATCTAGTAGGAAAAGGAGCAGGAATCATAAAGGAAACCAAAGCCAACACAAGACATTTGGCTGCTTGAAATAAGTCAGGAACGGTTGTCCTTTATTCCCTCACTGACAGTCAAAGGGCAAACTAGCCAGGTTATTTTCCCACATTTGGTAGAAAATCCCATGTTGCTCCATCTTGGCACAGAACAAATACTGTAAAATAGCACGATAAATAACAATCTGCTATGCTTTCAGGATGTTTAATGCATCCTGCTTGAAGTGATTATCTCAGTTCACCTCATGACAAGCCCGAGCCTTGAATTGACAGTCCCTACCCACCCCATAGCCATTCCACTTTGGAAGCATCTTAAATATTTTCAGCTACCTCTTTGGGCTGAGAAGAGAGCTTTCCATTGTTTGCCCTTTGCACACAACAAGGATACCTGACACCTTATCTCCCACTGTGCCTTTCTTCCAGAACATAGAGTTGGAACCCTCATATTTCTTCTATATAAAATATAACATAGAAACTACTATAGAAAGATAACCCATTGACTGATTTTTGCTTCATATTTCTTAGATTACAGATTTATATGCACCCTTGAGAAGAAAAGCCAGAAGAACCTCTACTTGGTCACCGATTGCATAGAACATGCTTTGACGTCTCGCTATCCTCGTACCCGTTACTCAGCTGGCTGGGATGCAAAATTCCTCTTTCTGTCTGCCTCTTATTTGCCAACTGCAATAACAGATTACGTATATACCTTTGTTTTTCCAAAGCCAGCACAAGCAGTGTAGATTCCATTGTAGCAAATGTACAGATAGTCCTCAATTTATGAGGACTTATTAGATGACAGCACTTAAGAGATAAAAATAGCTCTATTCATAAGGAAATATCATCACCCAAGATCAAACACGAAAAAAAAAAAACCACAATAGAAACTACCCAACTCCCTTTCAGAACACAAGCTCCTTCATTGCATCATCTCAGCAGTTCAAACTTCAACTAAACCTGGGAGCTCAGACAATCTCAGCTATGACCCCTACATAACCCCTACATGCAGGGGTGGGATTCTACCAGTTCGCACTTATTCGCTAGAACTGGTTGTTAACATTCTAAGTAGTTCGGAGAACCGGTTGTTAGAAGAAATTACTGGCCTAATCCTGTAAGGAAGGAAGGAAGGAAACATTCTGGTGTTGCTTACAGAAACTGCCTCTCCGTTAGCCCTTATTACATTCTTGGTAGGACTAGACTTCCTGTCTCAGGAACTTCTCTGGAATTTTTTTCCCCTCCTTTGCTGGCACTTTGCTTGTGTGGAGTGACCATTCAAAGTTACAATGGCATTGAATAAAGTGACTTATGACAATTTTTCACACTTACGACTGTTGCAGCATCCCCACAGTCATGAGAGGCCAGGCGAGGAGATGCATGCCTCAATGTGAGTGATATTGAGTTGGCCACACCCAGCCAATAACATGACCACCAAGCTGTGTCCACCCAGTCACATGACCACCAAGCCACGCCCACCACCTAAGCCATGCCCACAAAACCGGGTATTAAAAATTTGAATCCTACCCCTGCCTACATGGCATCATGGGAGTCTGACAACAGCCAATTGAATACATGTTGTTGCACAGAAACAGGAAGTTAAATGCAAAGAGAAGGTATAAAAACCCTCACTCTCAACTCCATGTCATCAGCTGCCCAGGACCTCAAACCCATGTGATTCAAACCCATGTGATTCACCCATGTGATTCTGATTCATCATTAAACCATCTTTCCAAACAGCCTCCAGGTTTCTAGTGTCTTTCTTCCAGCTTGGAACTGACCAGATGGATATTTCTTCCCACACTAGCATGCTTTCATTTGAATTTCTGGGATGGGGTTGGATTAGATGGCCTAAATGGCCCACGCGATTCTAGAAAGCAAGATATATTTGGAAATATGCCTATTACATCTGACAATCATCAACAAAGCCAGGAACAGCCTGAGAAATCAAGTTCATTACTCCGAAGCCAAGTGGGAATGTAGTGAGATCATCTTTGAATTTAGCAAGTAACAAAGTATGAGCCAGGCAGAGGCTGCATGACAGAAATTAGTCTGCCAAACAATTTGGGCTGCAGTCAGTTTTACACTTCTTAGTGACCTTGGCAAAATTTTCTTCCCTTTCCTTTTTGTTTCCTCGTTTTTCTGGGAATACCACAGAACTGATTGGGCGGCTGAGATGAGATAAGTCACACTATTTTCAGTCTCTGATTTTGCTCAGTTTTGTTTTCAGGCCTTTCCCCACAGCTGAACTGAAATGTTTTCCATCGATTCTAAACTCAGCAAAAACAACAACAGCAACAAACCACCCTATACCAGCATAAAAGCTGCAGCCTTCGTTTACTCATCCCCATCCTACCCTATCACTTCCATTTCCAGTCCCTGATTTTCCTCCATAGGAATGGGTGACAAACAGATATTATACATATTGAGGCTGGCTTTAAATGATGTCCAGAGAAGAGGAAAAATCCTGACTGGATTATTGCAATCCACTTTACATGGGGTTGCCCTTAAGAAAAATCCATAAATTGCAACCATTGTAGAATACACATTTCTGCCTCCCTCTCCCTGTAACAGTCTGTCCAAGTTACACTGCTATTTTGTGAGCTACACTGGCTCACCGTTGCTTCTAAGTGCAATTCAAGGTGCTGGTTATCACCTTTAAACTATACACAGCACAGAGATAGGTTATTTGTGGTACTGTCTCTCCCCAAGACTATCTGCCTGCCCCATTAAGTCACTTAGGATGGTGGCACTCCAGATCCTTTCACTTTAATGCTCTCATCTGATGAGACCTCAGGGGGACTCCGTCTCTGTAACTACCCTAGCTTTTGGAACAGATTCCTACCTGAAGTTTGGAGGATTCCTACCATTTTAGTTTTCTGGAAGGCCATGAAGATCTGGCTTTTCCCCAAGCATTGAGCTAGGAAGTGGGTTGAATCAGGCACTTAATTGGTTGATTTGGTGCTTGGTTCTGTAGGAAGTTAGCACCCACCCCTCCCCTAGAAAAAATGAAATACCCTAGGAAATATTAAAAAGGCAGAATATTTCCCTTAAAAAGAGAAGTAGAAATTCAGAAGCAGAAACTCAACTCAAAGAGGCAGAAACTCAGCCCCTCCACCCCCACCCTTGCTAATGGACCATTACTCGGATACAACCCTAACAAAGATCTACTCCAGGAAGAGCTATAATAGGAATTGCCCAAAGCCCTTTCATTACATCATTATCCAGCAAGGCTCAACCAAGCCTGGGACTCAGGACAGCCTACAGAGTTGCTCCTGAATGGCCCCATGGGAGTCTGACAACCAATCAGAATACAAGCTGATATGCTTGTATATCAAATTCAAATCCCAACAGAGGGTATAAAACAATTGCATTTTTAGCACATCAGCCCTTCCCCTTCTTTTCCTTCACCCAACATCTTGAAGCATGTGATCGTCCTTTTCACATTGGAGCTCCAAGCCATGTGGCCCTGTCCACCATTAAACCATCTTTCCAAATGGCCTCCATGTTTCCAGTGTCTTTTCCCCCCTTGAAATGAACCCTGAAGGATAATTCTTCCAACAGTTCTATTGTTTTTATTGGTTGTTGTGAATGATTTTGGATTACTATGGGAGATAGGCCACCATTTAAGTTCTTTAAATAAATAATATAAAAACACTATTTAAACCCTGGTACCCTAAGAATATCTTACAGCTGGCTCACTAAGAAGACAGCCATAAGATAATCTGAATTGGAAGAATTAATAATCGCAATAGAATATTAAATAGATTCAGAAACACCAAGTTTCATTATCGGCCAATTTGGAAATATTTGTTTATGTTAAATCAGGATAAGGTGGAGGATTATGGCTATTGCTTTTGAAAAGAATAGAACAGAGATATGTGATATTCTGTTTCATATTTGCATTAAGGAAAATTACCTTACCTGTGTATATTTCATGTCTGTATTATGCTTTGCAGATAAAGTTATTCTCTTGCTCTGCTCATTAACTCCCTTTAGCACATACCTCATTTGTGTGATGTCCAAAGTAAAAATTAACAATTAACTACTGGTTAAAAAAAAAACCACACAAGCATGTCTGCCTTTTAAAAAAGCAGGTATTTATGTCTTTTATAGTTTACTATTCTAGAAATACATCACTGTGTGTCTTTATGACAATGTTTATAAAATTTTATCAGTAGCATCCAGAGTTGCACAACTAGAACATACTGGATGGTAAACAGAACTTTAATTTCTCTCTCCTCATTCCAAACCCAGAATCTGCCCTAAATGTTTGTGGTATTCTGTAAATTAGATTTGGGGTGTCCAAGGAGCTGCATTTAGGGAGGGGAATAATAATTTTTGTTGCACTAGCTAAAAAATATTTTTGCTCACACAGCTAGACAGTCAGATTGTTTTCCCTGAATTAAAATAGATAATAGATGTTCAGGATGAAGATTTGCACACCTATTTCCTCCTTCACACAAGTGCATGGACTGCCTCACACATGACATGAAACATAGGATTCTAAACCATATTATTTAAATGGGACACATAATTTTAAGCATTTAAATTTGTACAAATCATTCAGTCAAATCTTCAGATTGAATCGAGTGGCTGGGAATTGCTTCGAAAGGCGATTAAGAGGTTTAAGGGATATTTACGCTTGTTAGTCTTAGAGGATTTAATTCCATACGTCAACCACATTGGGTGAAGATAAACGCTGTATGGAGCTCTCTGTTATTGGCCGGAATATCCAGACAATGGGTTTTACCTTCACTAATTCTGCTTATCAGAGGATCAGGTGTATCAGTTTTCTCCTAGAATTTGTTTAGGCAGATTCATTTGGAAGTTCATTTGGCACATTCTAATATTATTTTTATTACTTCCTCATCTGTGGGTGTACTTTCACTTTTCCAATTTGGTGCATATATGATTCTACCGTGTTTCTCACAAAATAAGGCCGGGCCTTATTTTTTTTTTGACCCCCGAAAAAATGGCTAGGCCGTCTTTTGGGGGGTGACTTAATTCCCCCCCGCTTGCATCCTCGGGCGGGCGGGTAGCAACGGCTTGGATGTTGACCTCGGCGTTGGTGGGGCACTTCGTATCGGGAGACCTTCTGCCACTGTTGCTTTCCCTTCTCCCTGTGCTGCTGTGGTGTTTAGAGCAATGCTGCGGCACTTGGCGCAGCCACACGTGGCCAGCCAGGGCTCCTCCTTGCAACCGGTGCCCAGTGGAGACACTCGTCTTCAGGCGGTCCTGACGCCACCTTCCCTTTGCCTTCGAAGGCAAAGCCAATTCTTTTAAAAACGACGCCCCACTAAAGGTACGAGAGGGCAGCCCAACCCCACGTGGGGAGGCGAATCCCCTGGGGCCACAGGATCGGCCCACCCCAGGAGAAGTGCCCAGCCACCATCCCTGCCTGGTGCCGGGCAGAGTGCAAAGAGCTTTATCTGGGGCACCCAGCGCAGCTGACAGGCGGGCCCTCCTGCCCGGCAGCGGAGCTCTCGCCAAGGCAGTGAGCTCCTCCCTGCTGGGCCCTCCACTCATCCCACCAGCGCTGCACTAGAGCCGTGCAGGCTGGGCAGAGCCAGGAAAGCAAGTCGTGGGTGCGCGCCCGCATACCAAGTGAAAGAGTCAGGCCGACCTGAGCTTGGCTTCCTTCCCAAGTCCCTCCAGCCCGAACCCAAAGGGGCCACCAGGAGAGGCCACCTTAGCCAGTGATAGCGCCTACCCATCCATGGACAGGGAGGCAAGGCGACGGCCTGTG